ACAATAAGAAACACTACCTGCCAAAAAAAAAAAAACAAGTTTTTGAAAAATTGGTTGAAAATGTAAAATCCGATCCCATATATAAATGAACACACACACACACACACACAAAAACAAAACTGGGTTTTATAATAAGTATAACTCGATATGAGTTGTCCCCTTTCATTCTTGCGAAATAATTTTTGTTTTTTTTTTTGATTTCATGCAAAAACAATTTTTTTTTTTCAATTTTGGCACTGTCAAACCACTGCAAGGTAATTTTGGACACGTAGTCCTGTGAAGTTTTGTTGAAATCGGTTGAAAAAAATGAAACCCGAATCCAATATATTAAACGTAACACACACACAACACAAATTGCGTTTTAAGTAATAAGTAATAATATATATATATATATATATATATATATATATATATATATATATATATATATATATATATATATATGAATGACCAAAATTTTTTCAAGCCTAATTTAATTTTTATTGTATTATTGAAAAAAATTTTATTACAGTTTGGTCTTCGAGGCATTAGGGACAAGGCTTTTAGACTGAAATAGAAGCAACAAAATAAATTCAAATTATCGGTTTTTAACACAATAAAAGGGAGTGAAGGTGGTTAAAATAAAAGCGGTGTTATGGGGAAAAACCCGCTCTTTTGATACTCTGTTGGGTTTTTTTGTGAGCGGGAGGTGACGAAGGTTTATATTTGCCCTGATTTTGTTGTTCATTTTTTCCAGGTTAATTTCTTTTTTTTTTTTTTTTTTTTTAACAGGCAATTGTATGTTGTTAATGAATGATATCGACCGTTCAATGTATAAACAATAGCACCAAGATTGGCTCAAAGTCGAGCCGAATTGGTTGAACAAATCTACAAAGAAATCGGACTTCCAAACTCCAGGTTATAATTCTTTTTGTCTGTTAAACATTATGCTTCTTTTAGCGAACAAATATTTGGTAAAATATAATGAAAATATATATTAAATAAATTTACTGGCCTGATTGGTCAGCATTTTTATATTTAATCATTATAAATTTCTCTTGTATGCATAGATTGCGGCTGTTCCGGAAATTGTTGGGAGTCGGAGACTGACAGATAATATCCCATTTAATTTGTGGGGTGAAGCTTCCATCTTTAAGTTTCCAATAACGTTTGGATAGAGCAGTTTAGTATCTTAAAGAAGCCTTGGAGAAGGAATGTCGGTGATTGTAAAGTCTCTGTTTCAAACGCACGGCCGATATCCCAATGTATTGTTTTTTATCATTGATATTTTCTTTCGGAAAAATAGTAGCTTGGTATACCACATTTTCCGAATTACAGATACTTCCAACTGGGCAGTTAGTTTCGGTTCTACAATTACAAGGAGGCTTGTTTTCTGATGTGTTGCTGTCATAAAATGTTTTTAATAATAGGTTGTTGTATGCGTTAATAATATTATATATGTTGTTAATGCATGAATAAAATTATTTTCAGAGTTTTTCTATCGAAAATTTTTGTAGAAACATATTATTATATATATATATATATATATATATATATATATATATATAATATTTTTTTAGAGGGTTTAAATATATATATATATATATATATATATATATATATATATATATAATAAATATATAATATATATATAGATTGTTATATATCAATATATATATATGTATATATATATATATATATAGTATAGGATTGGTGTATACGGAATAAATTCCAATAACCAACAAATACTATTCTTAAAAGAGTGCTCAATACAGAGTAGAGCAAATATAATTATTTATTCGAAAATTATAACATAAATATGTTATAAAATCACTACAAAATAGCCATTTTGTTTCAACGCTTCTTTTGTCTTATCAAAATGATGATGTTGAATGTAGAATAAAGGGTTTTAAAAAAATTCAAATTAATCAAACACCCCTTCGCTAAGGAAACGCTGTTACATAAATCTGGAATGACCAATCAAAATATTCAAGTATACGAAAAATCAAAAAAACTTGACAAGAACTAAGGTTATAATAATTATTTAATGCTTTAATGTTGGGGTTAGACTAAAATAGAATTTATTCTCACTAATAAATATTAAATTATACAATAAAATTTGAAATTAAAATTACCCATTTTAAAATTTAAATTTAATCTATATTAAGTTTAAAATTATAAAATTACTGATGAGGAAAAAATTAAAAAATAAATATGTTATTCTATTTATTTTGTTTTTATAGAAATTTAAAACAATAAACAAGATTTGAAATGTTTTGACCTTCAACAACATAAAAAACATTTGAATCATAAACAGAGGCAGGGAGGATGACATCTTATGTGAACAACATATATATACATATATAATCAGATTATAATGCATAAACATTCATACGTATTTATTTATATATATTTAACAAAAGAAAGCGACGAGACAGGAAATATCTCCACGACCCTTTTAAAAAATCTATTAAATCAAAATAAAAATTGAAATTTATGAACTAACCGTTAACTTGTAAACACCGCTATAAATTTAACTTATTATAATGGTTGTAATAAAGAACGATAATGATATGTCAACGTAAATTTAGTAGGTTATTATTTTATTACCTGATGGTCCTATTGTTGATGTGGGTGTGTGTTGGTGTACGTGTAAAAAAACTTTTTGTCTATATGTGTTTGTGTATGTGTGTGTGTGTGGGTGTGTTTTATTACTGATATATATAAACAAAATCAATTATGGCATCTCTACAAATATTCTTAAATGTCTATAATTGGTAACAGAAGAATTTGTTTATACCAACGATTTTCCATATTTTTCTTATATATTCATTCTCGTGTGGTCATATGTGACGTCATGAGATGCAGTGCGATTTTCGCTTCTAGCGTCTTATATGCGCGTGTTTATCGTTGCTTAGAAATCATCTATATGTAAACAATGACAGACTATCATCTCTGTCTTATCCGTATATTGCTTAATATGTTGTAACTGACATCTTTGGAAATGGCTTAAATAAGCCGAAAGCTTTGATTGTATTAAAAAAATATGGATCAATATTGTGAATTTCTTTCTTCGTTCAACGATAATGATATGTTATCAGATGTTACGAAAAAAAATTACATAAAATAAATAGACAACACTTGTCTATATTATTTAACGAAATGTGTATGAATATATATATATATATATATATATATATATATATATATATATATATATTATTTATTTAAAAATATGATTCCAAATATATATATTTAAGAAGTCTCATTTTTCAAAACAAGAATAAAAAAAAATCAATATAATTATTTATATTAAATTGAGTTAAAGTAAAGCTCTGTTCCATCTTCAAGCGAAATTTTTTTTTTTGGACAACGTATTTCTGAAATTTACGTGTTTTAATAATTGAAATCAAAAATTTATGAATGGTAACAGCTAGGGCGAATTGTTTAAATTGGGTAGGCGTGTGTTGGGTGTTAATAATAGTATCAGTATAGAGTTACTTTCATAGATGTCAAGTCAGGAAAGGTGGGGGTGTCTAAATTTTTTTAAACGAAGATGTATTAACCCTCGTCTAGTTTGCATGTCTATAGAGATTTATTTATTTTTTAATTTTATTTTTTTCTGAAAGGGTTTTTGTGCATATAAAAAACTGTCGTAACGTTTGTTTTTTTTTTCACTTCAAAAGGGTTTTTTTTTTTTTTTTAGGGTTTTAAACTATTTATTTCGGCTATGGATTATGAATGGTGTTAAAATGTATGCAAAAAAAAAGTTAATTATTCAAACCATGAATCTGATGATTGGGCTATGGATTAAATTAGTTATTATATTGCATATATGTTTATATATATATATATATATATATATAAAAAATTACAAAAAAAAAAAAAATCTGAATATGCATTTATGTAGTATTATTGTTAAAATAAAGTCGACGTCGGACGTTTCGGTCTATTAAAGACCATCTTCATGGACATTTTCATTTAAACATAATTAACATTATAACTTATAAAAATTTAACAAAAAGACGATGGACATAAGAGCCCAACTAATTCAAACAAAATAACTGAAATTTTATACAGATCAGCGTTCCGTTTAAATATGAATTCGTAGTCGTCTCAAATGGGCGATGTTGTTAAAACGTATTCGAAGATGATTTCCAAAATTAAAATATTAAAAAGTCGATTGAAAAAATTTTATAAAAAAGTTCAAGAAATCTCTTCCGTTGATGTCGGAATTCACGTAGTGATCAATTGGTTCTTATATCTTCAACAAGAAATGAAATCCTTCCGAAATAAAGGCAAATAAAAAATGATTTCAAAAAACGATGGAACAATTCTAAAAAAAGTTCGATAATAAATCCATTCCTTTTTTGAAATAGAATCTATTATTCTCGTCCAAGCTTGAAAACACTTTTCCACGAAAATTATAAATTAAATTCAGTTTTATTTCCAGTAGACAGTATGTTTATATTTATATATATATATATATATATATATATATATATATATATATATATATATTTAATTAATTATATTGATTTCACATCTAAAATTGATTTTTTCAATATTATTTCATAATTTCCATGAGTGGTGTTTTTAATAATTTTGGACTGGACTAATTTTTTTTTAAATCCATAACTATGAATATAATAGATTGAAAGTGTTTCACGAATTATTCCAAACTAAATACGAAATCAATTTGTTTATAACTAAATTCAGGGATTATATATATATATTCGCATTTTTATAAAAAATATATATAGATATTCAGAGGGGGGGTGAATAATTCTGTATTATACATATATATATATATATATATAATTCATATTCCAGATGCATTTTTATATAATTTACTCCTTTTATATATTCTTTTTTTTTTTTCAGTAATGGTATAGAAATGTAACATAATTGAAGATATTTGAACTTTTGAAAAATTACGCTTTCTTCCTCAACATTGCATTCAAGAGGTTCGAAGAAATCAAAAATTATACAAAATCTGTACGAAAAACATATTTCTTCAAATGTCCATTAATTTCTTACCACTCGATGATGAGAAGACGCGAAAAAATACGCTGTATCGACAGATATTTGATTATTTTGATAAAGTCGACCGAAAAGAACAAAACCAGGATTTATCAAAATATGTGCAATTTCAAGCAAGTTCAAACTGATAAGATTAAATTTAATTGTTTTTTTTTTCATAAGCAAGAACACATGAACAGTTCTTTCTTATTTTGAAGATATACTTCATATATGCATTTATATATTATAAATATATTTTATTTATTTTAATTAATTGACCCACTTATATTCACAAAAATAAAATTATACAAGAAAAAACATCATTGCTGGGTGTGGAAAAATTAAATTTACAGAAACATTAATCATTTCCAGGAAAATAAAATCAAAATGATAAGGAGATTAGCGATTAATTTTTAGTAAAATTGGTTAAAAAAATGGAACTTTTAAAGGAGACTCCACAAATTAAAAAAAAAATTTAAAAATATAGAACCAACTCAACTGGGAAAATTGAAAATAAATTCAATTTTATAATCTTTTCATTCATCTTTCCTGTAAATTCACATATCTATAAGCCTACCATTTAAGTGATAATACTAGACTAGTGACAAACTCTCACCAATTTACATTGAGAACCATAAAACTATGCTAAATGTTTCTTTTCAACCACAGTCGTTATTTGAAAATTTTTCCGTTTCATATTTTTCCCAGCCAAAACTTTGATCACAAAAAATATATAAATATAATATCAATATATATATCTATATATATATCCTCCTGATTACAGTTCTTTTTTCTATATTATTGATATAAACTCCGTTTTCAAATTCTTCCACCCCAGTAACTTTTGCGTCTTAGTGGCTTTTCCTGGCCTTGACTGAGGGTGAAGTTTATGAAAAAAATTTTTTTTAATTATCCGTTTTAACATCAACTTTAAATTTTCATGTTAAAAAAGTTGAATAATGTTAAAAATTGAACATTATTATAAAAAATAAAAAAAATAAAAATTTATATAGTTTTTTTTAGAGAGTTTTTATATTAGCAAAAAATTCAGATTTGAGCGAAAAATAAAATATTCTCAGAATGACGTCAAAATCCACGATAAGTTGTGCTTAGTTTAATTTGTAACGTATATAAATGTAGGTGCAAATGTTGATAAGATAAATGCAAGTTTTTGAAAAGAATTGCTCAAAAAAAATTGATAATGATGATAGGTCTAGGTATAGTTTCACCAGCCCTGATATAAACCAAACTAAAAAAATTCAGTCCTTTGAAAATCCTTTGAATTCTGAATTCCTTATCAATAACATTCTCCGCTTCTACTGCGCATGACGTTAACGTGAAATCCGATGAATTTTTTTTTAATGAATAATGTATTTAATTTATTCTGTCCCATCGTAAAAAGATTTAATGTTATTATTGTTAATCTTAACCCTAGAACATTAACCATGGCTATATAGTACCCAGCGCAAATTTTCATATTTAATTACAATTTTCAGTACCTGATTTACTTACCTAAATAATATGTTTTTCAGTTCCGGAATAAATTAATGTTAACTCAAAGTACAAAGTTTGAAGTGCCTGCATGTAAAATATTTCAAATAAAGATTTTATTTAATATTTTTTTTGGTGGGGGATATTTTCAAAATCGGGTATGGTTATTAGTGGTGTAACTTTAATTGATGGTTAGTGTTCTAGGGCAAGATTTTTTTAGGATAGGTTCGTATGAACTGAATATTTATTCTTTGGAAGTAATCAGTTTGTAGATAAATTTCATTGACATAATTTGGTAAAGATGATTTTTGTCGACAATCTTTTTTGGTTTGGTTTATTTTGTTTTACGTCATATCAATCGCAATGAGTTATTTAACCCTTTCCAGAATACCATTCGCAATTTTTTTTCTATTTTTTAATATTTATTTTTTTTCAGTACCTGATTTTCTTACGTAAATAATAATAAATTTTAAGTTCCTATTAACCTTAACTAAATCACAAAGTTTGAAGTGCCTGCATTTTAAAATATTTCAAATAAAGATTTATATTTTATATTTAATTTCATTTTTTTTTGATATTTTCAAAATCAGGGATGATATAAATGGTTAGTAATGGTGTATCTTTAATTGATGGTTAGTGTTCTAGAAATAATTCATGTCAAAAAAATCATTTTTTAGGAAACAGGTTCCTATGAATTAAATAATATTCTTTGAAGAAATCATTTCTAAAAATTTTCATATGACGTATTTTTAAAGAGGATTTTTCGTAATGAACAATACTTATTTGGTTTGGTTTAAATTATTTTTGACGTCAAATCTTTAATCAATGAGTCCTATTTTAACCCTAGAACACTAACCATGGGTATATAGTACCCAGCACAAATTTTCCTATTTTTTAATTACAATTTTCAGTACCTGATTTTCTTACCTAAATAATATGTTTTACAGTTCCTATTAATGTTAACTCAAATTACAAAGTTTGAAGTGCCTGCATGTAAAATATTTCAAATAAAATTTTTATTTAAATAAAAATTTTTTATTTTTTTTTTTTTTTTTTTTTTTTTTGATATTTTCAAAATCGAGTATGATATACCCATGGTTAGTAGTGGTGTAACTTTAATTGATGGATAGGTTTCTAGGGTTAAAATTAATACAAGATATTTCAAATCACTTAGTGTTGATAATGTTTGGAGAGCCAAAAAACAAGTAAAATTTAATGAAAGAAATTTAAAAGATTAAGAATTAATGCATATCTGTTAACCTTTAACAAAACAAACAAAAACAAAAAAAAAAAACAAAGTTGCCACGCAAATTAAAAATTGGAGCTATCAAAATGAAACAAGTACAACAATTTAAATATCTAAGAAGTTTTTTTTTTTTTTAATGAGAGGTTAAAAGTCGCTTTAGGCTCGGGGACTCAAGCATCCCTTAAAATAAGAGGAAGATTTGTCTATATAGGTGCAGAGAGATAACGATTAACCCCAATAAATTGAATAGGCTAAAATTGATAATCAGGGAATTTTAAAAGATCTTAATTATATAAAATATGGATGTCATGTATGGCGGTTTGACGCAGTCAACAAATATTTAAATTGATCAGAAAGTGAGAAATTTACAAATGCTTTCTAAGATCAACGACGAAAAAAAATTTGCAAGTTATGAAGGTTGATGGTTGGGAAAGGTCATCTTCTTTAAACATTATGGATTGGCAAATATAGATCCAAAACAACTGTACCAAATAACAGAAACCATCATTTTTTTTTACTCAAAAAGGTTTAAAGTTAAAATGGATACCATATTTAAAAGAAAGAAATTTTAATGACATTTTGAATTAACAAAAGTGATAAACACTATTTAATTTATTAGATTATTTTCTTACAAAAATATATTTAAGAGAGAGATTTTATAAATTTCAATAAAAAAAAATGGCTGCTCGGTATATAATATTATAAAGAACTAATTAAAAATCTATTATTATCATTATCATTACCAACATTAATCGCATTAAAACAATTATCTTTTTATTTTCTTTGACTGAGTTTGAAAAAAGGAAACGTACATGACAAACAACCAATGTCGGTCGGCTGTGAAAACCGACATAAAATAATCTATAATTATATGAAGAATTATTATTATTATTATTATTGTCTCAGAATTTTTCGAAATGCTATAAAAGTAGGTTTTTGTATATTTTTATCCATTCTGGGTACAACGAGGAATTACATCCAGCAGCAAGGTCTATGACCGGAAGATTGAAATTTTTTAGGAGCGTGGAATCACGTCTTAATTTCTGTTATTCCGAGGTTAAAAAGCAAAATGAACAATTATGGTATAAATTTTAAGGTTTTATGCTAACAAAATATTTTAAGGCAAAATGAAAACGGGTAAAAAAATGAATATTTTTTTTCAGAAAAAATGACCAATAATAAATTTTAAGGCAAAATGGCCAACAAAAATTTTAAGGCAAAATGGCCAACAATAAATCTTAAGGCAAAATAACCAACAATAAATTTTAAAATAAAATGACCAACAATACATTTTAAGGCAAAATGGATAACAATAAATTTTAAGGCAAAATAACCAACAATAAATTTTAAAACAAAATGACCAACAATATATTTTAAAGCAAAATGTTGTTGACCAACAATATATTTTAAAGTTGGAAATGACCAATTGAATATTTTATTTGAAGGCAAAATGGCCAACAATACATTTTAAAGCAAAATAACCAACAATAAATATTAAGACAAAATGACCAACAATAAATTTTTAGGCAAAATGGCCAACAATATATTTTAAAGCAAAATGATCAACAATAAATTTTAAGGCAAAATAACCAACAATAAATTTTAAGGCAAAATAGCCAACAATACATTTCAAAGCAAAATTACCAACAATAAATTTTAAGGGAAAATGACCAACGATACATTTTAAAGCGAAATGACCAACAATACATTTTTCTAAAATTACCACTATTATAGTAAATTTCAAAATTTGGCATACATTGTTAATTTCTTTTTTTATTTTAAAAACAGTTGCTATGTTTTACCTGCTTTCTTGTAAAGAATAACAAATTTTCCCTCCTCTTTTGACTTTGTAAAAATGGAAGTGCAAACGCCGATTGTAATTCTGAATAAATCATGAAATAATGTCAATTCTCTTGAATTATTTATAAAGTTCGAATTTTCATATTTAGATTTCGGTATAACCCATAGAGGTGTCGATATACCACTAAACAAAAACCAACCAACAAATCTTTTTGTGACTTCAGGCCGTGCAAGAAAACAAGAAACACGAGATCGAAGCCCTGCAAAACCAATTGAAACAGATGAAAAAAAAAATTATAGGGAAAAACTGGTATTTCATTTAAATTTCATTTCTTCCGATCGGAATACAAAAGTAGATGATTACTTTTACTCTGAAATCTTTCTTACTCTCTCGCAGTTTTTAACCTTTTTTTTTTCTTTGGTTTTATGAATACAAATAAGTGACATGAGATAAAAGCTTAAATTTACACTATGGATTACCCGAATTGGTTTTGCCAAAAATGCTCGTTAGAGGGCGCTCTTGAAGTCTATAAAAATCATATTTTATATCTTCCAACTTGCGTACGGTCTAAGTAACAGTCTATATATCTATATATGAAGAGGAACCTGGACGAGGCGCCGCCGAAGGGCAGAGTCTCGTTCGGGGTGGTTGAAATATAAAACCCATTTGATGCGGGTTCAAAGACGAATATTTTGAAAATCCCACGTTAAACCCGGCCTTTGTGCCACATGTAACCCCTAGTCGGAGGGTAGCTTAAATGCCCGGCATTTTTTAAATCTTCCTTTTTGATGTAGTCGCACGTGGGTAAAGTGTTCCCCACTGGAACACATTCATTTTCATGATACACTCTTAACTGGACTCTCGCACACGCGTACATACGCACACGTGTATCACACACACCTGTTTCTCTCTCACACACACACACACACACACGCATACAACAAGTACGTTCTTATAGCTAGTTTCAATGGCTTTTCCTTTCATTTCAATTGTATAGACACGCAATTACTCTTGTTTGTTAATATATGCATATAATAGCTGTTTGTTTTAAATTCATTGTCTTCTGTTTCTGAATTTCACTGGACTCATATGAGTCCGTCAATATTATTTACGGGATAAATGTCCCGGGAACCCATAAATACTTATTATACAACATATACTCACTCATATCCAAAGTGCTGATTCCCAAAACAAAATGGTGACTTATTTTTAGCCGAACAACATAGAATACCCAAAATATTCCAGCTTTTCAGGTCGTCTTTACGCATTGCAAAATACAATGTTTTCATTGAACTCGGATAGGCTAGTTAATTTTTCATTCTTTCTTTCTTTCTTTTTTTCTTTTCTTTTTTATCTAATCATTTCACCCAGGGGTTTACATGGAATAAAAAAAGAGAGTGAGAAAACTCTACTGGGGAGGAGTGAGTAAAAAGACAATAAAGCAACAGGGCCCAGGAAGACAGAAGATGGCGATTGACATTGCATTTAAACTCTTGGAGATCAAAGAGTTGGCTGGAAAGCATGGAGAAAGTAATTCCACAAGCGAGAAGTGCGAGACAAGAAGCTGTTAGCATAGAACTTACGGTTACCAAATCAACTGTAAATTGGTGACACTTTGTTGCCAGTCTAATATTGTGATTAAATGGTAGGTTTATAGATATGTGAATTTATTTAAGATGGGATGATCTACTATGACATGTTTCGATTTTGTATTTAGATACATTGTATTTATTTTTAATTTTTCCACTTGAATTGTTCACCTATATTGCATAGGATCCATTATTTTACATAATTTCCACTTGTCAAATTTGTATTTTGTAATGATTACTAACTGTTGAAAAAATTTAGTAAAAAATGTTGGGGATTATCGTATCATAGATTGGGGGAAGGATTCACAAATCTTTGCACTGGCACTGGTTTGTATTGTTCGGAGATTTTGTTGGTCACTTGATGTTTTGGAATCTTCTCGTTCTCAGCTGAAAAATGTTGATAGGCTTGTGCACATGTGTGTGTGACAATCCACTGGGCCTAGAATATAGGGATTTTCCTTCGTCAGAAGAGAGTTCCACGAACGGGAAGTGCGAGAAAAAACTGTTAACATAGAGCTTAAACTTACCCTAACCAAATGAACTGTAAATTGACGAGATCTCGACGCCAGTCTAGTAAAGCGCTTAAATTCAAAAAGTCGAGGTACCGTAGCGAAGAGCTAATCCGAACAATTACCATGAAAGTATTTATAGAAAAGTGTTATACCAGAACATACCTATTCTATTGTAATAGACTCTCCCACAGATAATAAGTAGTAGTAGCAGTGGCCAGTTGAGCACAGTGGAGTTGAGTGAGTCAGTCGATGTCGGACATTGAAGTATCAACCACCACAACTAGATTGCTGTGTCATTAACTCTTATTTCAAGTTCCTAACGTTTTGTACGTCGGACCCTTTTTAGGACCGACTTAGCGAAATACAAGAAATTGTGTGAAAACTACTCTACAACAAAAAAGACACAGGGTACCAACTTTACGGCGGTGAGAAAATAAAAATAAGCCGAGACACCAGATCAGGATAATAATATTGCAATTCTTTAATTGTCATTTTTAAAAAAAAAAAAATATATAGCAGGTCCTTTTTGTGGCAATAATATTCTAAGCATGGACGAATACTTATAAATATGTCCCTAGATTATGGAGATAAAATTTCTTTTGTATCATTGGCAGAGGTTGGATTACAGACAAAAGGTGGTAAATCTAGTGAAGGAACAGTAACACGCAGGAAACTGAAAGAAGAGAGGTTTATTGTAAAAGAGAGTACACTACTGAAAGACAGGAAATCAAGGTGGCAGGCTAAGAAAATTTTGAACAAGGATATCTACCAATTTACAATATATTTTCAGATTTGGCACAAGGCCAAATTTAATGTGAGGTATCCAAGCCCGTTAATTCGGCCAAAAATATCCCTAAGACCCTGTATAAAAAAAGGGTAGGTATCTATTTCTCGAGACGAGACTCTGCCCTTTTTATAGCCTTTTTTAATATCCTCTCTACCTGGAGGCAGAGAGTTTGACCAACACAACTGGATACTAATCTCCAACTAATTCTCCAAGCAAACCCCCAAAGCTCACAATATATAGCTACTGATAAAATCAATCCAGATAGACGATAGGGAGTGTGGGACATTCCATATGCATCTTAAATAAATTCACATATCTATAAGTCTACCATTTAAGCGCAGTATTAGACTTTACAGTTGAGTTGGTAAACGTAACTTCTATGCTAACAGTTTCTTTTCTCGCATTTCTGGCTTGTAGAACTCCTTTCCGGCTCCATGCTTTCCAGCCAACTCTTTAATCTTCAAAAATTTAAATGCAATGTCAATTGCTATCTACTCTCCTCCTGATTACACTTCTTTTTTTTCTCGCTCCTTAGTAATGTTCCTATTTCCGAATTCTTCCACACCCAGTAACCCCCTTGTGTCTTAATGGCTTTACTGACTTGACTGCGGTGAAGCTGATTAAAAAAAATTGTTTTGTGGCAATTTTTAACATCTGCTTGAGATTTTTTTCATGTTAAAAAGTTGAATGATTTTAACACATTCAACATTATGGATAAAAATAGTGAATTTTATATAGTGTTCTTTTCGCGACTTGGTATGAGAGAACCAAATTTACGGATTTGGACGAAAAAAAACCAGAATGACGTCAATATCCGCTTCTTTGTTTTAACAATTGTGAAAATATCCAGTACTCTTCTCACTCCTTAATAATGTTTCTGTTTTCTCTTCTTTCACACCCAGTAACTGTTTGTGTCTTAGTGGCTTGCTTGAGGGTAAATTCGATTAAAAAATGTATAATGATTTAGTTTTGTTTTTTTTTGCTGATTTTTCAGAACGAAGAACAACAACAGAAAAAACCCAACACAGAAAGAAAACCTGAAAAGGTATTTAATATTGAATTAAATTGTTTTAAAATTAAATTTTTTTTTATATTTGTTTTATTTAATTTCACACTGAATTTCATAGGCGATTTATTCAGAACTTCCATTGATTCCTTCAGGCTAATATCGTCACCTTTGTCCGTTTTGGCTTATGTACCACGTGACTGTCCTTAATTGACTGCGAAGCATGAAGCCGGAAAAGAGGTGCGCAAGAAGAAACTGTTAGCATAGAACTTACGGTTATATCTAGCCATTTCAACTGTAAAATTGCTGCCAATCTAGTAATGCGCTTAAAATTGTGAAATCTAAGTACCAAAGTGGAAAGCAATATTTATTTTATTTTAATACAAAAACGTGTCACACGACCAAAAGGTGGGAATAAAGGAAGGCTGGTGTTAAATCTATCTAGCCACTATCACTGACTCAAACATACCACAGTATTCCTTACACTAAAGCAGCATGTTCATACATTACCATTCTTACGGCAGTCAAGCATAATATCTCAAATACTCTATGAAGTCCTCACTCGTTCCTATATATACAATTTGTCTGTGGGGGTAGAGAATAAAAAAACACCATTTAAAAATGAAACCCCAAAGAATATTTACAATGATTACAATTTATATACAAGAAACCAAACAAAATAGACAGTCCAGGGTAAGACGATAAACTACGTCTAGCAGCAAGGCCCCTGATCAGGAGGTTTTGAGGAGTGTCGAACTACCTCTTAATTGATGGTGTTCCCAGGTCTACCCTGACCGGGGTGGTAGCTCCTGTTAGGGTATCAACTATGGGCAAATACTTAACCCCACAAATGGGTTCAAAACACCATGAATGTGTAAAAATAGGTTTTAATACCAGAAATACTTTGTAAAAAATTATCAGCAATAAATTTCTGAAAAAAAATTATCAGCAATACATTTTTGAACAAAAAATATTAACAGCAATACATTTTATGAAGAAAAAATATTACCAGCAATACATTTTTTTGAAGAAAAACTATTACCAGCAATACATTTTTAAGGAAAATATTACCAACAATAAAAGTTGCCAGCATTAAATAACTAATTGATCTTGACATGTCGTAAAACAAAACAAACCAAACCAAACCAAACAGTGTATAGTTTCTTGTATATAAATGTTTATATGAGCCAAAAATGAGAGAGAAGAAACTGTTAACATAGAACTTACGGTTCCTCTAACCGTTTCAAGTATAAAATGATGAGACCTTGCCGCCGATATAGTGCACTTAAATTTATAAAGTCTAGGTACCATAGAGGAAAGTAATATTTATTTTGCAAATGCAAAAATGTGGCACGAAGCCAAAAAGTGAGACAGGGAAAGGCTGGTCTTCAGTCTGTCTTATCTTAAAATTAGCTAGGCACAATTACTGACCCAAACATAGCACTGTATCACTTACACCAAAACAAAACATTCTTATTTACCATTTTTACTACAACCACCATAATACTTCAAATCTCTATGAAGTCCTAACTAGTTCCCATATGTACAATTTGTCTGTAAAATTCCAACATTTAAAAAAAAAAACACTCATGACAACTATTACTATATATATATATATATATATATATATATATATATATATATATATATATATATAAATTTTCTCTTATACTTTATGATAATTTATAATCTTTGTAGCAATATATTGACATTGATGACGAACTTTTTTCTCCGACATCCAGCGTATGTTCTATGCGTGAAGGTGGCAAATCACGAAGTAGAAATTTGTTACTCGGCTGCTGAAGATTATTAAATAACGGACAACACTGGTCTTCACCCATCCCCAAATCTTACGCAACTAAATCCTATAAACCGCTCTCAGCAGGCGGGCTAAATCAAGTTTAAATTTTTTGTCGAAAGCCGCTGCACTCTTCTGTTACATTGCTTTTTTTTTTCCAGGTAAAACTTAAATGATAATAAAAACTGAGGGGCGTTGTTCATTATGTTTTTTTCAAATAGTTAGACCAACTTTGTTATCAAAATTCCAATATTTTGGCTGGTTTAAACAAATCTTCTGTGTAGATAGTCTGCAGTTCAGTTCGGTGTTCTTTCTTTGCTATTCCACCTGAGCAACAAGTCCACTGTCGAGAAAGTTAAGGCGACGGGGACAGGTACTGAATTAAAACTGAACTGAAACGACAGGAAAAGTTTTAATGTTTTTCACACACACACACACACACACACATACTACACACAAACACACAACATTGGCACATAAACACACTATAGCCATTTAAGGCTATAGAAATCCAAGTCTGTCCTCATATTTACCCATAGCTTTCCCTATTTTTCAAGAGGATTGACCTTTCCTTTATTAGCACGTCCAAATCAGCATTACTTAACCGTGCAGGACAGGATATATATATATATATATATATATATATATATATATGAATCAATATAGTCTTAAGATGTGCTATATTTATGTGATAAAGTCCCTCAATATCAAAGATAGAGCATTTCATGCTAGATGCAATCGTCAAGAGATTCTATGTTCAACTTTTTATATTTATATATACATATATAAAGAGAGAGAATTGAAGAGAGAGACAGACAGACAGACAAGGCATTCTGGAGGAAGCTTTGTTTAAAATGGAAAATGTCCGAAGCTGAGATGCCTCGTCAGAACCGATAATATTACAGATTCTTTGTATTTTATCAAGAATCTCTAAACACATAGCAAAAGCAATAGACCAGATGTGGCAGCAGTATTCAAAGCATAGACGGTAGAAAAAAAAAAACAAGTAACAATTGTTAGTAGATGTGCTGCCCCTACGACTCTAATGGATCGCGGGATTGGCGCGCGACTTATAAATGGAAAATTCTCCCCAGTCTAAAATCCCTTATTTGGAAAATTCCTTACTGTTGAAACTTGACTAATGCATGGAATAATAATGCAACACAAAGGGTACTTAGAACAAAATGTATTGAAACAAGAAAGTGTACACAATATTTACATATAGTCTTTTGTATATTCCTGGTAAGACCGTTCCTGGAGAATGTGTTGACTGAGTCGCAGTCGGGCAGAGTCTCTGGTTGAATCTCTTGATTCCTCCTCTCTTCCCGGTACCAACCATATTTATATGGTCGGTACTCCACTATGCAAATTAGGTGGATCCTACCACAACACTTTTTTTTATTAAATTTTCAAAATCAAAGATTCATTTTTTAAAATTGGGAATGGTTCTTCGAAGAAATTCGGACAATGTTTTCTATAAAATTTCATTTTGATATTGTTACAAGATTGCAACTTTTGTTTCTCAAGCTAATGTTCATCTGAGCCTGACTATCAATCTCAGAGAAAAATTATTTTCATTCGCCCTCTGCTTTGCTTCTTTCTTTCACAATCAAACGGGTAATTTAACGAAAAAATACCATTCTTTTTTTTAGATCCTAATCTTCTAAAACCTTGATCAACTTAAGATTTTTTCCTAAAAGACTTCTGGTTATCCACAGAGACGGCATTGGCCCTTCATTTCTAACGTTACTAACACACTAACCCCAGCCTTTTGGGCTTAATTGTTTTCTATTCAGAATACAAGACAACTTGGCAACATTAATATTCATATTAATATTGTACCCAAGGAAAATCAAAGCTCGAAAAAGGGTTCTGAAAAAGCGAACAAAAAGAACAAACTGCCGACACCAATTGAAGAGATTCCAATTGAAGATGACTCAAATATGGATTAGTAAGTAGAATTGATGTGCTTTCTAATTGGTTCATTTATTTGAATAATTGCCTTTTTGCTAGTACAGTAAATGTAATAATGATGCAATTTACTATATTAAAATAGAATGGAGGATGATTTCTATTATGGGAAAGCATTGGGAATCATGTTTACTATAGGAATACATTGCTAATGAGTTAAATAAACGAACTCATTGCTAATGATTTTATTATAGAAATGCATTACAAATTATTATTGCTATAGGATTGCATTAGAAATGACTTTTAGCATAGGAATGCATTACTAATTATTTTTATTATATGAATGCATTGGAAATGATTTTTACTATAGGAATGCATTACCAATTATTTTACTATAGGAATGCATTACCAATTATTTTACTATAAAAAGCATTAGAAATGATTTTACTATAGAAATGCATTGGCAATGATTTTCATTATCAGAATGCATTGCTGATGTATTTACTATAACAATGTATTGCTAATGATTCTTATAGTAGTTTTGAATTTACAATTATCTTTATTATAGGATTGCATTGCTAATGATTTTTATTACAGGAATGCTTGATTTTTACTATAAGAATGCATTGCTAGTGATTTTTATTGTAGAAATGCATTACAAATGATTTTTACCATAGAAATAATTTGCAAATTATTATTGTTATGGGTATGCATTGTAAATGATTTTACTATGGAAATGCACTTGAAACGATTTCACTGTAGGAATGAATTGCTAATGATTTTATTATAGGAATGCATTGGAAATGTTTTGTTTTGTTTGTTTTTTGTTTTTTTTTTTTACTATAAGAATGAATTGAAAATGATTTTTACCCTGGAATTGCATTTGACACGATTTTACCATAGTGCAAATTGCAAATGATTTGTACAATGGAAATACACGGGATTTTTACTATAGAAATGCATTGAAAATTATTTTCATTATAGTACAGGAAATGATTGTATTAAAGAAATGCATTTCAAATGATGATTCTTTGGTTTAAAAAAGATTTATAATAATTCAATTTTTGAAAAAACATTTTCAATTATTATTAATGTTTTACCACAATTTTTTCATCTTATTTCCTTGTGTTAAAAATATTTTAAAGTAAAATAGTCTTAAGATTTCTAAATTTCATAGATGAAGGCTTTTAATTAATATTTATTTTTGGTTGGAAATTTCTTTCTCAAGGTTTTCTTTCTTTTTTCTTACATGAAGCATTGTCAATTATTATTCATTTACTATAGAAATTATTTCTAATGCATTCCTCTGGTAAAAACCATTGTCTCTTTTTTTTCTTAATAATAATTTTTGATCGGTTCTAGAAAGACCCCATACATTCAAGGGTAAATAATATGTAATAAATCTGTTGTAAGATATTTAAACCAATGGTTTTAAAAAAATAATTTTTAAAAGTTCTTTCCTTTGTCTTTTTTGCAGCAGGATGAATATTTTAAAAGAGAAAAACGACGCCTTCGATGAGAAAGGATTGGATATACATTACTGGAAGTTTTTTTTTCAGCTTAAAAAATGCTTTTGCAAAAGGATAAGAAAAATTATATCATAACTTTTCAATTCTATACATTTTCATTATATAAAGAGGTAACTCAAATGAAAAACTTTATATATTTTAAACTTGTTTGTTGTATTTATTCATTAACGTCTATGATTTTTAAGATCTCAATTTTAATTAAAAAAAAAATAACAAGATCTACTGATTGATCATATATATTGACTAGGTTCAAAAAAACAAATTTTAAATTTTGTCATTTAAATAAAAACTTAGTATTAAGAAACAGGAAGATTTAATTTTTTAGTAAAGAAAGATTGATTTTTTTAGTGTAATATCAATCCTCCTATTTGGTAGAATGAATGCTTTGAAATCTCATCCTATCTTCCAAAAGCTAAACAAAAATTAAGAAAAAGAAATTTTTTTAGAAATCAAGAAAGGTTTTGTTTCTGTGTAATATCAATCCTCCTATATGGACAGGGAATGTGGACAATTTCCTCAAGGTCTTCCAAATGCTAAACAAAAAATTAAGAAAAGGAAGATTTCGTTTTTCAAGAAAAGAGTGATGAACTTCTATGAATATCAATCCTCCTATATGGCAGTGAATGCAAGGACAAAAATAATGTCTTTCAAAAGCTAAACAAACAATTAAGAAACAGGAAGAATTTTTTTAGAAACAAAGAAAAGAGGATGAACTTCTATGTAATATAATCCTCCTATATATCTGGAATGCTGGACAATTCATTTTCTTTTCAAATGCTAAACAAAGTAAATCATAAACAGGAAGATTTTGTTTGAAACAAAGAAAAGAAAATGTAACAAAATTCTATGTATATCAATTGATCATATGGTAGTGAAATTTTTACAATCTGAAGAAGTCTACCAAATGCAAACAAATTATTAAGAAACAGGAAGATTTCGTTAGAAACATCTAAAAGATTTGTGTTTGTTGAATGAGATCTCATCAATCAAATGTGTCAAGTTTTATCCGGGTGCTTCCATGTATTTCTAAAAAGAAAGATGCTGAGGAATTATAAAGAATCAATTTATCTAATTTTTATGACAAAACTTTTAAATGAGAAAACAGAAATTTCTTTGACACTTAAATCTTCTGCATGTGGAAGAGAAATTGAAATTCTCGTATTGGTTTCACGCCATGAGGAAAGAGGGTCTTGGATGAACAAAAAAACTCCTCTTGAACAATCGGTCGGCACATCAACAGATGACAGAAGAAAATTTATTTGAGATAACTTCATTCGAATATATGTATTTTTGCAAAAAAGAAACAACCATAAAGAAACATGCTAAAAACAAACGAATTTAAGGATATAGGAAATCGACAGACCCAGATCGTCATATTTTCTGAAAACACAATAGCACATAGAAAAAAAGATAAATGAATTTAATGTTGTCTTAATTTCCTAGATGAAGGAATCAAAAAGACGTCCTATGCAATATTAATAGATTAACGCAACTTCCTAGTCTAAACGGTATTCATTGGCTTTAAATTAGATTAAAATCAATGTTACAGTTTAAAAATTTATGACTAAAAATTGGTTTAGATTAATGGAAAATGCTTTATTAAAGATTCAATATATAATATATATGTGATTTTATGCATTGTTTAAAGCTTGAAAAATTATGGAGTTATATAAAAATCCACGTTTTAATATCTTTTTCCCATTGTTCTAAATTTTTGTTGACAATTCACTTGATATTAATCTTTTTTATATATTACATTGGCTTTTAGTTAAAAAAAAATTTGGCATTTATTCAGTTGTAACTAAAAGATATTTAAAAATAAATTATTTAAAAAATATGTAAAGTACGCAATTTTTATCTTTTATCACACCAAAAGAAAAGTTGCGAAATTAAGGGATGAACCCAATTAACATGATTAAGATATTTGTAGGAGATAGAAAAATAAGGTGTTTATATTTTTTTTGTTTCTAAATAAAATATGGCTGAAAAGTCTTCCATTAAATCGTTTAATATTGGTAATATTTTTGAAACAGATAATTGAGGAATTTAATTGCCAATTTAAATTCCGTTTAAAAATCGTGTCAAATTTTTTCCAAATAAAGGCTTCTCCAGAAATTTCCGTCTTCACACCAAACTTGGAAGATTAAAATGGACATATTTGTTATTGCTGCCAAATATTATGTTTTTAGAGACCTTGATAAAGATCCAAAGAAGGATCTGCAATTTTATTGGTCCTATCTCGGCTTTAGTCAAATTTCCCACCGCCGTAACGTTGATTCCCATGCCTTTTTTCTATAAATACTTTCATGGTATTGTTTTTCTGATTAATTTTGCTCTATGGTACCTAGACTTTATGAAATTAAACGAAGTACTAAATTGGCGACAAGGTTTCATCATTTTACAGTTGAAATGACTAGATGTAACCGTAAACTCCACGTTAACGGATTTTTTATCGCTTGTAGAACTCTCTTCTTTCTTCCGACTTCTTGATTTCAACTTTGATCTTTAAAAATTTAAATACTATGTCAATTGTTATCTTCTGTTTCCTTAATTTCTGTTCTTTTATTATTCTCGATCCTTAATAATGTTTTTTTTTTTATATTCTTTCACACTCATTAACGCCCTACGTGTTAGTGGCTTTGTTACTTTGTTTGGGATGAAATGATTATATAAAAAAGAAAGGTAAGGGCAAGAGGCTTTCATTTTTTTTTGTTTCACATAAATTGTTATAAAAAGGTTGGCACAGACTGGATTATCAATGAGATGTTGGTCAGCTGCTTAATCTAAAATGTTCTGTTGTAGTATGATGTAATTGGTTAATCCTAATCCAAAATGGGTTAGATACGTTAATCTTTGACTCCAATGTCTTCGAGGTGCACCCAGTGTAAACAGAAAGCGGTCAGCACTTCAGACAGCCCCTATGAAAATGATCATTGATAAATCGGCTGATATATTATCCCGCAAACAAATATTAAATGACGGAAGACAACAAATAGAACGAAGATTTGAGTTAAAAAATTATATTGCCAGGTTTATTTTCTTTAAAGAAAATATATCAACAAAAATAAGTTTACAGTACACGAAGCAAAAAATATATCTGCATGCTCATGTCGGGGGTGAGAAAAGCGTTGTCCTGAGAAGGACAATTTTGGTAGTCGTTGAAAAGCGTTGTCCTGAAAACGACAGTAGATCGCATATCATTGCTGCTGGCAAGGATGACTGGCTGGAGTAGCGGCCGATGGCGAACTGAGGTTGCGTCTGATGATGATGGCTGACTGGAACTGCTCCTGCAGCCGTGTGACAGCAGTCGACTGCTGGACCAGATGCTACACTTCGATCCTCATCATCTGGTCTGCGAATGATGATTTTTCAATGCTCTCTTAAAGTATGTGTAGGGATATAAAAGGCAATTATCTCCCTTTGGTGGGGATAAGTCACATGGATCACGTGAAGCCCGCTTAGTGACGTCACTTTATACTGTGACGAGAGTGTCCAGACATTCACTTATTTTAAAGCAGCTTTAAAGGGTGGATTTGTTTAGCATGCACCCCACACACACAACACAGGCAGAGGCTAAAACTGCTTCTCCTGCAGCTTACAAGTCTATGGTGTGCCGTTTCCCATTGGAAAACGAAACACCACAGTCACAGTTCACAGTTACAGACTCAATACTATACACACAATATGACAATTATAAACCAAATACTAACTATAATCTAAATATCATGTTAGTCAAGCCGAGATTGTAATTAGAAATAAAAATTATATAAAAATATGTAATATATATTTTGTTATTTATTTCTTTATGCATGTGCATGATACTAACTACATACTGACCATTGAACAGTGATATTGAAAGCTACAAAATTATGCGTGTGTGCAAAAAAATTATTACATCACTTTCAATGTCACAATAAAACAAGGCACCAATACGGGCCGTGAAATGACGCAGTTATTCTATTTTATTCTACATACTAACCATTGAAAAGAAAGAGATAGACCAGTGCCAATGACACCCTTGACATCAACTGCGTCATTTCACGGTCCGTATTGGTGCCTTGTTTTATTGTGACATTGAAAGTGATGTAATAATTTTTTTGCACACACGCATAATTTTGTAGCTTTCAATGTCACTGTTCAATGGTCAGTATGTAGTTAGTATCATGCACATATATAGGAAGAAACTCCGGTGTGACACTGTTCAGTTCAGGGTCGGATGTGACAGTGAGACGTCGGCCCGTGGTCAACATATCACGGCCCGAAACTGTGATATTTCTCCTACCAACGTTTTGGGGTGACTCTTAACCCCTGTCACCAACCTGTGTCCCGGTCGATCGGTGGTCGTCGCTGCCCGGTGGGATCCTTTGGTCAGGGTACCAAGTGGGATGGTCGGTCGGTTTCAGACGGCTTGGCACCAGATGCAACTGGTTTGACACCAGTTCCGCCGTTCTCAGCTCACCTAATGTCTGGTTACCGAAGCAACTACTTCGATCTCAAGTCTAACCTATCCACGTTGTGATTTTGATCTTAGGTAGACGAGATCAATCAGGCATCGGGCCGTAGAGCAAGATGAGTCTAAACTGGAGGTGATATCGCACAAGCGTAAAGAAAAGAAGCAATTAAAAACCCAAGAGGTTCAAGTATGTTGAAAGAAACAAATTAACTTTTATCTATCTGTTATATACAGGAGTGTGTGTTTTTCTTCCAACCTGTTTTTTTCGGAGAGTGATACTTTTATAGTTCTTATGCAAGTTCTGGTCTTCTAAGTCAACTGGTTTAGTTTTTAAGTGCTGGCTTAGCTTCGTTCGTCAGTATAACTTGCTATTGGTATTGGTTTTATAGATACAAATATTTAAGTAAACGCTCTGTTTATAATAAACAGTATTAAACAACATTTACCGGCCTGAATGTCCGAGAAATTTTTCACAGAAAATATTCGTCCTCCAACAGGATTCGAACCTGTATCCTATACGGAACCGTCATTTAGATTGACGTGCTTAACCGATTTGGCCACAGAGGAGCGTTCGCTTAGCAAGGTCGAATTTACTGCTTTCAAGCTACAATCTTTCATGAATCTCTCACGTACATTCATGTCTGCTCATGGTGTATCAAATGTAAACAAATGATGTCATGAATGAAATGGATATTAAAGTCCGACAATTATTTTAAAACATTTTTATGTTATACATTCTTTTTTATAGATACAAATATTTAAGTAAATGCTATGTTTATAATAAACAGTATTTCTCGGACATTCAGGCCGGTAAATGTTTTTTAATACTGTTTATTATAAAAAGAGCATTTACTTAAATATTTGTATCTATAAAAAAATGTATAAACATAAAAATGTCTTAAAATAATTGTCGGACTTTGTCCATTTCATAATGTGTGACGTGTATATATGTGTATATAGTTTTGTGTATGTTTAATAGGATAACAGTCTCTCTGAGAACCAAGAAAATACAATTTAGCAAGTTTTTCCTACCACGAAACTTGTTTACAATTAATCTAAGTATTCATGATACCTATTTGGTTCTACGTCCAATTCAGTGGCGAAGGTAAGGATCGTTTTATTAATATCTGTACTTTCAAAGATTATGAAGACTTTTTTTTTTTTTTTTTTTTTTGCTTCTCTTCAGGTTGTAGAAATAGCCATGTTCAAGAAACATTTGCTGACAGAATGTACAGCAAAAGATTCCTACAGGAATTGTCCAAGATGCCAGGGAGCTGTTCTGAAGAGTAACTATGATGCCCACATTAGTGACAGAAGTTGTAAAGGTATATATTGTTTTCATTCCAAGAGTTGTTCGGATTACTGAATTCATTCTCTTTTTTTTTTTTTGCGTTTGTTGTTACTTTTCGCCGTATAGATTGTGATAAGCCCTCTTCCCACTTGGATAGGCTACACTGTGCGAAAACCTTTTTAAGTCTACGCTCCCTGATTTAAAAAAAAATCCGCAAAGCAGAGTCCACAACGATGTCGGGCAGCGCCAAGGACCTAAAAAACACATGGTTGAAGGTTTATCAAGTGTAAAAGATTTTCTTTTATTATCTGGGTGATACTCATTGGTGCAACCGACACCACCATCCCCACCCCAGATACTGGTTTCCCTGATAATAATGATAGCCGGTTGAGTCTACGGCCAAACTACCTGGTTAAAGTATTCGCTTGTCAGGTAGAATTGAGGCAAGAAAATGTAGGTGTATGAGAGATAAGTAGAAGTAGGGGAAGAGGCGTAGAAGGCGAAGTAGAAGTAGTAAGAACTGAAGGAGTAGTAGTTTGTTTGTTTGTTTGTTTAAAATTTAACGACCCATCGATCAGCAAGAGATCATTTAAGGTCAAACAGTTGTTTTTTCTTTTTCTTTAAATAAGGTTGAAATGCTTTCAAAAAGACTTTCCCATTCCTTTCCTTCTTTTTCGATGTTGTCTTGCTTAGTAGTAGTAGTATAGAAGAAGAAGAAGAAGAAGAAGAAGAAGAAGAGGAACAAGAAGAATGAGGAAGAGGAATAGAAAGAGAAGAAAAGTGATTAAAGTGGGAGGAGGAAAAAGTCGAAGAAGTAGAGTAGAAGTTGGAGGATGAGAGGAGTATAAGGAATAGGAGGAAGAGTAGCAGAACGAAGAAAGATGGGGGAGAAGGAAAAAGTTGAAGAAGATGAGTGTAAGTTGGAGGATGAATAAAAGGAGAAAGAGTAGTAGGAGGAAAGAAAAGGTGGAAGAGAATAGAAAGAGGGGAAGAAGACGAAGAATAAGGAGGAAGAGGAGTAAAAAAAGAATATTAGTAATAAGGTGAAGGAAAAAGTGGAAGCTAGTTTTGGTGCGTAGAACGACTAGGTCTAGGTAACTCTGTAAAAATTCAGAGATCGATTTTACACCGTATTGCTATTAAACAGAACCCAACATCTAAATTTTTTGAAAGTCAGTATTTTTCGATTCTAACAATTGCCGCGTCTCGAGAAAATTCTAAAAAAAAAGTATTATTTCCCCAAAATTATCTCTAGTTTTTACGGGTGGACCAATCGACTTGTCACTTAAATAACGTCCCCATATCCAACAATTAGCTAAGGGAGATAATTCTAACTAAATCTCTTATCAGGGGAGGCAACTCCGTACGGTTTAAAGAAATACTTATTTTTGTTATGAGAGTTTTCATTTTCTGTTTCTTATTTTTAGTAATTGATGCCACCGAAACTCTTTGTCCACTCTGCCACATGAAAATAAAACCAAGCGATGAAGGATGGAAGCAGCATTTAATGGCGGCATGTAAAAACAATCCCAGGCTCAATTTAACACAATCCAAGAACCAAACAGCGTCATCAGGTAATGTAATCAACTTTTACAACTACGTAACCAAAAGAAAAACTGTGTCAATTTTTTTTTCTTTTGACGCCGTTATTACTGTAGTGTATACTGTCTCAGCATTTTTCTTGCTTCAAAAGGCTATTTTTAGAATTTTAATAAAATACAAATATTTGAAACTGGATTTATAATGTACTGAACTTTTTATTTATTAATCCTACAGATTTTTTTTTTAACACTTAAAAAAAAACGTTATTTTTAGTGGATACTCATATTTGAGTAGACGTTCCATTTATTTAAATGGTATATTTATTTATTTTCGTCTGCCGGCCTGAATATTGGAGAAATCTTATTAAAGAAAAGTAAGCGCTCTCCGGAAGAATTCGAACTTTCGTCCTCCTGTACCGAGGCAAACCATGATTAGAGATCCGAGGTGCCTTAACCGACTCCGCCACGAAGAAGCTTTGGTCGATGAAATAAAGTCTGAACCTTGTCTTTAAGCAAAATCTTTCTCATCATAGATTCCTCAAAATTATCATACCTGTCCAGTTTCTTATCTAAAGTAATTTTCTAATAAAGTAATAAATTTTTTATTTATTAATCCAACAGATTTTTATCACTTTAGAGGTTCGCCTATCGTCCGCTTCTCACATCTCCCTGATCTTTTGAACAGGATTACATATTTATCCCTTCTTTCCTTTTTAGGATTGGATTCTTGATCCCTTCTAAAGTTCTCTAATTCGCTTTCACCCCCAGTAGACGTTTGCATCATAGTGACATTATCACCTTGCTTGGGATGAATTGATAAAAAAATTCAATAGAAAAAGAATTTACGAAATTATTTTGTTGTTCTATTGATCGAATTATGGAAGATGATGTCATGCAAATTTTCCCTGGTTGCTATTTCACAAGTGTACGCTTTTTGCCAATTCTTGCTTGACTTGATTGGAACACCTTGTAGTTTTTTGGGGGGTTTTTTTTGTTTTTTTTTTTCTTATTTTGTTTTGTGTTATCAGTGGTAATTTGAATATAGCCATATTTCTCTCTTGCAAGTAGAACCACATTGAACACTAAGTCCAAAGAAAAATGTATAATCAATTTAATGTTAGATAAATTATAAAAATAGTAGATAAATTATGAAATAAATAGCGAAGTAATCGTTCTAAGTAACGCGGTTAATCGAAATAAGTGATGCATAATTTGTTCCGTTTTTCTCACTTGCAGATAGAACCAGATTGTATACTGAATCCAAAAAAAAAAAAAAAAGAAGTATCAGTTTACTGTTTTATATAATTATGAAATAAGTAGCGAAGTAATCGTTCTAAGTAACACGGTTAATCGAAATAAGTAATGCGTAATTTGTTCCGTTTTTCTGTCTTGCAGGTAGAACGACACTGAATTCTAAATTCAAAGAAAAAAGTCTCATCCCTAAGGGAACCTCACGACAGAGCCGAGCCAACAACATTTGAGCCGGAGTTTAAGAAAGTGAAAAAAAAAAAAAAAAAAAAAAACTGCTTTAGAAAATAAAATATTTGGTGTCGAACGGATCCCAAAAAAAAAAGATAAAATTTTCATAATTAAAATAAACATAAAACATGAATCTAACTTTTTCTTAAAATTTAGCGAAAACGGATTATTTTCCAAAGGGAAATAACTCCAGGGCTTTAAGGGAGACAACCCAACGCGATGCTTTAAAATTTGTATCCATATCAAAAAAGGCAAAACTACATTCACTGTAACAATTATGAGAAAATTAAATGATTTTATTCCGATTCTTTTGTACTTTAAATACATTTTTAGACTTTCAGAACTGGACAAGCTTTCTGAAAAAATAAAGTCGGCAAACATAGATAAAGGTGCCCACTACAGGTGAGAGAAGTTTATTCTCCTATTTGTATTTCCACCAGTGATATAATAACACCATGATTCACAAACAAAACGAACTGGCTGAAAGGAAAAGGAATGACAAACATGCTTGGTTCTCAGAGGGACTTTTATACTACTAAGGCATACACAAAACTATATATACATATATATAGACGTGCCGCACGCAGAGAATAATACATCACATAGCAAAGCAGAGAGTAAGGAGAAACAAAAAGGAAGGGTCTTAGATATAATATGGAGATACTCCTGTATCTGGAGAAGCCATGTTTAGGACTTCAGTATCAAATGTGCCAGATTCATCTCCTATATCCCAGATGAAAACATATTCTCTGAAGGGAAACAGTGAGTCTTTTCTCAAATTTGAAGACTCCAAGCCAGAGTTTCTATATCTGGAAAAGATATATTCCCAACATGAAACAGCACCATGGACTTGCAAATTGTAGCATTTGCTGAAGGCAGCAGATTTAGCCCACTTGGTCCAGGCTAAAAAAGCAACTGCTCGGTTAAGCTGCTGTAAACAAACTGAATGACTTGCCACTCATCACTGTATAAAGTGACATCATGACCCATGTGATTTATCTCCACCAAAGGGAGATAATCGCCATTTGTATCCCGACACAGCAATAAGACAGTTTCAAAAGGAGGGTTTTTCCCAGGACACCAATTTTTTTTAACTACCCTCCGTTACTTGGCAATATTTATTGTTTTAAAAAGCAAAGATTATAATTGGAATAAAATCTGTTGCAGATTTGAATTCACCCACAAGAAAAAAAAAAGGCAATATTTTTAAATATAAAATATTTTTATTTTGTGTTTGCAACTAATTTTTTCTCAGCTTATATGTGTTTTACAGTCCTTGCTTGTAGCTGTGTATTAAGATGAAAATAAATGTGATTTCTCTGCGTGTATGTATGAAAAAAAAAGGCAAGAAAGTGAGAAGGAAAATGTGTCATATTGCTTGGTGAGAAAGAGTATAAGTGTCATGGTGTTTGGTGAGGAAGAGTGTAAGTGTCATGTAGCTTGGTGATGTAGACAGCTGAATAAGTAAGGGGATCTCTTTGAAACCGCACCATCGTGATATCACATGTATCTACCTCTATCTCCTTAGTGATTTTGTCCGTCTGGAGACTCTACTTAAATACTCTTCAAAGAAATCACAAAGAATGTTTTTTTTATTGCCGGCAGGAACATGGCCCATTGGTTGGGAAATGTTAATTATTTTCAAAGGATTAATTTATTAACTGGAAAGGAGCACAGATCCTTCAACTCAGAAACCATTTTTGGTCATTTGATGCTTGACTGCCTTGCTGTTATTTCTGTCTTCTCTCCACAAACAGAAAAATATGAAAGTGAAATTATACATTTTCTGTTTTATAAAAAAATTAAACCTCATTAGATATTTTATTTACAAGAATAATTTTATATTTACAGCATTCTAAAAGTAACAAAATTTAGATTCTAAGTTTGTATTAGTTTTTAAAATATTGTAAAAATAATTGCATTACATTTAGTTCTAAATTTTAGAACTAATACAATGAAGTATTTATCATTTACCGCTTTATGAAGAAATAAATTTGAAAACAATTTTTTATTCCTAATTTAAAAACATTTAATAAATTTAAATAAGTTTTTGATGGTACAAAATTTAATGATAGCTAGGAATAAGCAAAATTTATATGGCATTTTAAAAAGCTAAAAAAAAAAGAACAACCGGTTTCATCCCAGTCTTATCAAGTTTATTTCTGGGATATGAAAAAAAGAGGAATGTAAATTTAATTATTATTAATGATAACAAATGAAGGGAAAAAAAATGAATTTCAAGAAAATTATTTTATATCCCAGAAAATAAACTTGATAAGGCTGGGACAAAACCGGTTGTTCTTTTTTAGCTTTTTAAAATGCCATACAAATTTTGCTTTTTCCTAGCTATCATTTAATAAACTATTGAAATATGTGAACCGATAATAAGGAAATCTTATTTACCATTTTATAAAGTTTGAATCAATTAGCCATTAGCTGATGTTTTGCCAACCATTTCAATAAACACCATAATAGTGCAAATGAATAATTTAAAAAATAATGTTTATTATTTTTGTTATCAATTCTCAAGAACAAAGAAAATGCTTAAATTACTTTTATATGTTTAAGTTTTATTCCAATTCTAATCTTTTCTTTTTAAAACACGAAACATTGCTGAGGAGTGAAGGTAGTTAAAATAACAGCAGTGTCAAGGAAAAAAAAATCATTTTGACATACCTCTTACGGTCCAATGTTTAAACATGTTTTAACAAAAGTCAATAAGTTCCAAATTTAGAGATCAAATCTTTTCTTCTAAAAATAGGTTTATAATGGTATTAAAATTAGTTATTTCCTTTTAAGGAAACTTTCATATATTTATTCACCATTTTGCTTTTGTTTGAAATTTTTAAAAAATTTTTTTCAAAATAACTTTTTCAGAAATCAAGGAAAGACAAGTCCGTTTATGTTATGCAAATTTTCCAGTATTAATGGTCCCTTCTTCCTAACTTTTCCAGTATAAAGCCTTGATTTGAAAACCTCTTGAAGAAGATTTCTTATGGATTTCTTCTACATATATGATGAACAGCCTTAATAATGTCATTGATTCATGGTCAAAAAAGAAGTTGAATTGTAATAGTAATATAAGCTGCTTCCTTATAAAGAAACATTTTGCATTCATTGACTGAGCAGCCAGTTGAAATTTATAAAAATCTTTCACTTAAAACAATTTTTCAGGAAAATAGGTTTCTTATGTCCGGTAGCTGTTATCACTCTTTCCAGTATTGACAGAGGTTTCCTTGCTAACCTTTTGTTTGAAATCATTTGAAAAACTGAAACAAAACCTTACTAAGAGCTACAAAGAATAGGAAATTGTGGAGAACCTTAATCACCCAAATCCTGAAGAATAATATGCTGCGTGTTCTATGCAGTATATATGGATGGTCGAAGTAATGCCATAATGAATATACAAAGGAAGTTGAACAGCAATGGTAATATGAACTGCTTCCCTCCAAGGAAACATTTGGCAATCTTTGACCAAGCAGCCAGAATTGCTTTCAGTTGAAATTTATAAAATCTTTCACTTAAAACAATTTTTCAGGAAAATAAGTTTATTAAAATAGACACTGTTATTGTTTTTGCCAGTACTTCCTAATCTTTTGTTTGAAAAACAATCTTTTGACAAAAAATGAATTATAAGAAATTAAAAGAATAATGAAACTTGTGGAGAGCCTTCATTCAAGTCCTGAAAAAAAAGAATATGATTTTTTTCTTTCTTCTAGCATGATATGGATGGCATAAGTAATGCTATGATGCATATAAAAAGGAAGGTGAACAGTAATGGTAATATTAGCCACTTCCTTGTAAGGAAACATTTAGCATTCATTGACCGAAATTTCAGCCTTCATGATTGATGAGTCTTAAGAAAGTGTCTATTGGGACTCAAGCTCTCTCCAGACTTTAACGTTGAACTCATATATCTGAGCTATTGCTAAAGATGCTGGAAAATAAATGGTTGATTCATTGTATCGCTCCAGTAATTATCTGACTTCCCCTGCTATACTCATATCTTTACAAGAGCCAGATCAGACCAAAAATGGAGTATTGCTGCCATATCTGGGCTGGAGCTGCTCCTCTTCACACATTTGCCTGCACAAAAGTTCAAAAATATTTCCAATAGCCTTATGGGTGATGAATTATTTTCCACCCTACAACCCCTTTCCCATAGACAAAATGTCACAAACCTTTCACTATTTCCATGGCATGTGTTCTGATGAAATACAATTCTTAGCCCCACCAGCCCTGACCTTTGCACCTCAGACCCACTATATCATATACATAAGGATGAATCATCTCCATTATCTTCGTATTCCATTAAGACATTCCACTCAGACAGCTTCTTCCCAAGAACTAAGTAAGTTCCACTTGGACAGCTTCTTCCCAATTATTGCAGCTTTGTGGAACATACTCCAGGAGGAAATGTTTTCCTCGACAACCATGTTGGATAACTTCAAATCTGGGGTTAAATTTTTATCTTTTTTTTGGGTATGCTTAACAAAAAAATAGTAAGGATTTAAGTTCCACTCAAATAGGTTGTTCCCAAGAACTGCTGCTTTGTGGAACATACTCCAGGCAGGATGTTTTCCCAATCGCTACAATCTTGACCTCTTCAAGTCTGGGGTTAATCGTTATCTTTTCCTTTAACATTCCTATAGTAAGGAGTAAGTTCCACTCAAATAGGTTGTTCCCAAGAACTGCTGCTTTGTGGAACATCCAGCAGGATGTTTCCCCATAATTTGCTATAATTTTGAAACCAACTCTTTCAAGTCTGGATGGTTAATCATATCAATTTAAACTAACATTCAATAGTAAGGAGACCTAAAGTTCCATAAATAGGTTGTTCCCAAGAACTGCAGTCCTCTTGTTCCAGGCAGGATATTTTTCCCAATCGCAATACAATTTTGACCTTATTCAAGTTCTAGGGTTAACTGTTACCTTTCTTGTATAACTCAATGAACTTTACCAGTTACCAGATTTTTTTTTCTGAAAAATGCCACAGTAAAAA